ATACCAAGACATAAAAATCGGACAACGGGTTGCCGCGCAGGAAAAAAAATTTCCGGCGCTATGCGCCTTGAAAACTGAATTTCCCCATACACGTAGTGTACACAGAGCAGAATTAGCATTCATGCATATGAATAATTAATTAGCCATAATTCCAAAACCCTTTGAGCTATAGTCATGAAATTTCTTAGGTATGTTTATGATAACCTGTTCTATGTATGTACCGAGTTTTAAAATTGTTTGTCACTCGATGGCCGATACCCACCCCCCCCCCCCCCCGGCTGAGAGATGATCGAAATAGCCTGGTCTTTTAGGGTTAAACGTGTATTTCAAACGTGTTTTTTCAAATGCCTGGCTATATCAACAGAACTAAATGCCCAATTCGGTTGTAACGAGGTATGTACCTGGACCTTGCTATGTTACAGACGAAGATTGAAGTGATGAAATGATGACGCCATCATGTGTCAAACAATTAACGTCACATTAAAGGTGCTGTATGATGCATTTCAACAGTATTGATCTTGCATTTCAACAGTGTGCTATCATCAGTGCTACTCGTCTGATCGCTGTGCAACTTTCTACTGCACAATCCCATCAGTTTATAAAATGACATAAACGTATTACACGCATCAAAATGCCGAAACAGCACTGTGTTCTTTATATACCTTCAAATACTCGTCCAGCTTTTATTGCGCTTATTTATTGCATTGCATTTGTAATTGTACATGACAGTTATAAGAAAGTGTACATCTAACATACTACAAAGTTCAAACACCTTACAGATACACAGTTACACAACCAAAAGTCCCTTTAATCTAAACAAAGAGGAAGAATAAAAAAAAAGTCGACCTGACGATCGATTGTGGAGACTGTCAGGTATGGCACCGGGCTGTCTGTAACTTCTGTGACGACTAAGCTATTGATTTATGCGTGGTGCAGCGATCAAAGGCCAATATTCATCATAATCCGTTGATCAAAGGCGCAAACCGCCATTCATTTCTCAAATTCACCCGACCTGCATATTTTCAGAACGACATGTACTCTGTACAGAATGTGCATGCTCTGCCTATCTCATAAAGTCTCCATACCCAAAGTCGTCATCTGTCTGTTCAGTGGCAGATTGACCCGGCCTGCATATTTTCAGAACTACATGTACTCTGTACAGAATGTGCATGCTCTGCCTATCTCATAAAGTCTCCATACCCAAAGTCGTCATCTGTCTGTTCAGTGGCAGATTGACCCGACCTGCATATTTTCAGAACTACATGTACTCTGTACAGAAAGTGCATGCTCTGCCTATCTCATAAAGTCTCCATACCCAAAGTCGTCATCTGTCTGTTCAGTGGCAGATTTAGAGGGACGGGTGGAGGCAACCGTTGCACCTCCATCGGCCAGGTTCTCCGCTGACTACCGATATGATGATAAAATTGTGGGGCAAAAATGTGAATAGTACATGTACATGGAATGCTAAAGTTTCAATATTTATTCTCCAATTGCCCCAGTATTTAGGGGAGAAAGTACCGTAGATTCAAAACGTTCGGGGGAGCATACCCCGAACCCTACGCACGCCTCAAATTAACCCCCTTCCATATCCCCCTCCCATTCCGTTTACTGAAAGCCAGGTCCATCGCTGCTGTTATTTTAAGGAAGTACATGAACATGTATTTTTGTGCAAAGTTATATTTAGATTACTTCAGTTCAGTTTGATCTGCTTCATGGGATGTATAATTAATGACTGTCACAATTGTGATGCATATTCCAAGATTTGTATAATGTAAACTTTATTCAACGACAATTGTGGACCTTTTACTAATACGTTCATAATTATGCACGCATGCGCATCAATGGTCCTGGGGGCAAGAAGCGAAAGCGGCCCTTTAAAAACGTACAGCGGTCCAAATATTTGGGTCATTTTCTCTCAATTTCTCCAGGATCACGGTCGCTTTTTTATTTAGAAAAGCCCCTATAATCGCCATAGGCTTTCCTTCAATCACATCATTTAAAAACAATACACACTTCCCAAGATATACATATTACCTCTCGTTTTACAGTTTCAAAATGAGACAATTCCGAATTCGGTAAACAGCCGATATCAAGCGTCACATGAAACGGGTTTGGGTCGCCATTTTCGACTCCTAGCAAACTTAGACCTCGTTGCTTCGAGACTAAGACCGAGAACGGATCAAGGATCTCCATCATTGCAATGATCTTTGTCCAGAATGCAGCTAGCAGTCCGCCACTAGTGAACCAAGAACTAAGGTGAATTCCACTACCATGCCATGAATCTCTCTTTCGAGACAAAACCCGAGTACAGAGCTTATATTCGGGTTTTTGCCCAAGCCTGTATCAGGATTTGAACTTGAATTCCCACAACCACCAGGAAGCAATTAGTATCATTTGACTAAATGACTTGTTAGGTTTGCCCTAACCCTTCCCAAATGACCTATTGGCACACACCTTTTCAATAAATATAATTATTATCTAGTGTAGCATTTGTTTATGTCCAGAAATGAAAACACTTTTCCTGTTTTTGATCATTGAAATTGGTGCACAACAATTGGAAATTCCAAATTATGGGGCTCCGCTGTACATGTGTTTGTCCAGAGAGGATGGCCTGGACTGGCCACCTGTGGTTTGGCAAACTGCCTTAAGGGATTAACCAGATAATCCTACAGTGGGCAGAGAAAAAGATATACAACAAAATCCTGGTATGGAAATACCCTGACTTTTAAAATGCAAACTCCCCTCACGACGTCACTTCTATCCTGTAGTCGGAGGCAAATTTCCTCGGCATTTCATGAGTCAGGGAAGTACATGTACATGTATCTTACACCTGTTTGAGGCTGGCGTTTCACAGTCGAACCAAATACAGTAATCCTAGGAACAACTATAGTTCAGTCGGAAAAGGGGGGTATCGTGCACCCTCGGAAATCAATTTCTAATCAACGTGTCTAGGTCAGAAAAAACGCGCAGAAAACGATTTGCTATGTTAAAAAATTCAAAAAATGTCCCACGTATTGTTTTTATGCAAATTAGTGCCGCCATTACCGAAAAATCTATTTTTAATTATATCTCAGCCAATATTGCTGATAACTGAACGAACTAGGTGTCTAAACCCATGTTTTCAAGGTCAGAGATCACAATAAAACTATTCTGGAAGTGACCACGTGTGTCTGTGGCATAGGAATATGCAAATTAGTGCCGCTAATACCGGAAAGTCGTGTTTTTGGCATATCTCGGCCAATATAGCACATAACTACACCAGTAAGGTGTCTAAACCCATGTTTTGAGGGTCAAGTATCATTAGAAGACCATTCACGAAGTAACTATGTGTGTCTTTGGCATGAAAATATGTAAATTATAAAGTGTCGGTTTATCAGATATTTGATTTTTAGCCAATATCTCGGCCAATATTTCACATAACTACACAAATAAGGTGTCTAAACCCATGTTTTGAGGGTCAGGTATCATTAGAAGACCATTCATGAAGTAACTATGCGTGTCCTTGGCAGGTTAATATGTAAATTCAAAAGTGTCGATTTATCGGAAATTTGATTTTTAGCCAATATCTTGGCCAATATTGCAGCTAATGTTGACAGAAGGGTTTTTGATAAGCAATAATGATTAAAGTTTATTTTAAGCCATCATATTTAAAATAAACTGTACTATTGGCTGAAATTGAATATAATATTGGCTAAAAATCAATTTTTTTATAAACTGGCAAATTAGAATTTACATATGTTCATGCCAAAGACACACATAGTTACTTCGTAAATGGTCTTCTAATGATACCTGATCCTCAAAGCATGGGTTTAGACACCTTACTTGTGTAGTTATGTGCAATATTTGCCGAGATATTGGCTAAAAATCAAATATCTGATAAACCGACACTTAATATGTTACATATTTTCATGCAAAAGACACACATAGTTACTTCGTGAATGGTCTTCTAATGATACTTGACCATCAAAACATGGGTTTAGACACCTTACTGGTGTAGTTATGTTCTATATTGGCCGAGATATGCCAAAAACATGATGTTCCGGTATTAGCGGCACTAATTTGCATATTCCTATGCCACAGACACATGTGGTGACTTCCAAAATAGTTTTATTGTGATCTCTGACCTTGAAAACATGGGTTTAGACACCTAGTTCGTTCAGTTATCTGCAATATTGGCTGAGATATAATTAAAAATAGATTTTTCGGTAATGGCGGCACTAATTTGCATAAAAACAATGCGTGGGACATTTTTTTAATTTTTTAACATAGCAAATCGTTTTCTACGCATTTTTTCTGACCTAGACACGTTGATTAGAAATTGATTTCCGAGGGTGCACGATACCCCCCTTTTCCGACTAAACTACTAGCCTTTGGTTTTAGACGTACTTATTGATTTCCCCTCGACTCAGAGTCGTTCTGACAACTGTAACAGTAGGCGTTTCGACGTAATCGCGCCTGTTTTCAACCCTCGAAGTTTTGGTGCACTGGGTTCAAATCTTTGGAAAAGTCTGAAAAGGCGCGACTTTGGAACGCCAGTCTAAGACGAGGGTGAACAAGCGATGTGGTACTCAAGGCGCTGGAAATTATGTCTATTATTGATGCTTAAATCTTATACAGACCGCGGCGTAATGGCGCTTTGTTTCATGAAATCCGCCGCAGAACGAATCTTCCATACCACTTTGTCAGACAATATCGAATGTCAAATAAAACACGACAATGTTATCAGGCAAAAAGATGTAGCCCACTTTTAATATTTTATTGCTTCGATTGAAGTTGAGTACATGTACAAAATGCAAAACTGAAAAAGATAAAGAAAATACTAAATTATATACAATAAACTAGATGCATGTAGGCCCTACATGTACTGTATCAATACAATGTAGTTTTAGCCTACTAACATGACTGGCCGACATAATGGAAGGACCTCGTCCAAACCACAATTTAGGGGTAAGATAGATATTTTTATAAAAAAGATTATTCAATGGTTAATATTTTTTCAATTTTTTTTTATATAAGTAATGGTTGTAGCTGCACATGCAAACTTGTACACAAATCTGTAAAATGTCTATGACAATAACAAAACGTCGGCGATGCGAGCTATCATTTCTTGTACGCCAAACCACCGGGCTGAGTCACTTGTGTACAGAATATTTATATATCAAACAGATACTACATGTACATACATTTGGTACGACCAGCACACCTATATTTTTTCCTCAATAAGGAACATGGTGAAGACATTGTCATGAATAATTCAGAAATTACGATGGAGTCACTGCAAGACACTTCGGTTCTCGGACTCTTTTTGTTCTCCCATTTTAGTAAAACTATCCAACTGATAAATTTGGAGAGAGAGAAAAAGGCTTCGTGGATTCGGAGCAGGGATCGTGTATATAATAATAATACCTGTAACTTTATTTATTGATGGTAGCCATGTCACCTCAGCGATGATTTTCAATGGGCCTTCATAGTTCATCTCACTATACCCACTAGGCTGGAAGAATGACAACTCTTCTTTGAAATGCTCAATGTACATGAAGTTGCCTGAACACTAAAAGCCTCAGACATCGAACCTCTCGCACCAATGTCGTGGGAGTCGAACCACCGCGGCATCTGTAGTGCGCACCGCGTGTATCCCAATCTACACCTACGGATTTCCGTTACAGATTGCCAGTGGCAATCTCCTGCTTTTAGAGTTCCTGACCAAAAAATGATTGGTATTTTAAAGCTTTCCTTTTCTAGGAATAGTAGGCCTAGATGTGACGAGATACTACAATGCAATAAGTACATTTTTTGTATCGCCGGCAAAACAATTTAATATTCGTGGGCGTTTTTTTTTCAAGAAGAGTAAATTTGCATATAATTTGTATACGATATGCATGATTAAGCCGTCGTGTTGCTACAAGTTATGAGCAATTCACACCAATATTCTAAGTTGCACACGATAACTACACCCCGTCAATGCAGGATTCCTAAGACATTAGTGCGAGTAAAATAAAACGGTTATGCGACGGCCAACAACTACAGAAACCGCTCTTGCAATGGCAGTCCATTTTTCACAACCGAACTGTTTGACAAAGACTAGATCGGTTGCAATACGTGAACCATGAAAAAGCAAAAGCAATATTTACATTTCAGCACATGCTATTTTACTTTTAAGTTAAAACATGTAAAACATATATCACACAGTTAACATTTACAATTTGGCACATTAGACATACATGTCCCCGTTTTGAAGCATATATGGCTCATTAGCAAACATTGTTTTAGTATTATCTATACAGGGTGAGTAAAAAAAAACACAAATGGCAGGATCAATTTTTGAATGAAGTTTTGCCTCTGGAACTTTTCTAATCTGGGATTTGAAAGCTCAGACATTATGCTTTCTTTTAGTACAAGAATAATTGAAATCACTCGTGTACTTTTTGAGTAACAGAATTTTGAACACTAACACCGTGTTAAAATTTTGTCCACGGATCACAAAAAAAAGTAGTATTCTTTCAGCAAAACGAAAAAAATTCTCAAAGGGATGCATGTGAATTGTTTTCGTTTTGATGAAAGAACACTTACTTATTTTGTGATCCGTGGACAGAACTTTAAAACGGTATTGTGTTCAAAATTCCGTAACTTGAAAAGTACGAGTGATTTGAATGATTCCTGCACTAGAAGAAAGCTGATTGATTAGGCTTTCATATCCTTGATTTTGAAAGTGTTACAGGCAAAACGTCATTCAAAAAGTGGTCCTGCCATTTGAATTTCGCTTTTATTTGACTCACCCTGTAGATACTTGTAGGTTGAAACAATGTTCTGTCTCAAAAGCGCATACATCTTGTAACCCCTCCATTTGAAAAATGTCCTTAACTCACGTTACGTCATACTACATGTACTCTTAAGCTAGAGAGGTTTGACTTTTGGCCAAGAAATCATTTACAAGTCATCCTCAAGTCTTGAGTTACCGGTACGTCGCCAGCTATGCACCTTTGTTTGCGACAAAGACATTCGTATGTCGCCGCTGGTAACTAGACTCTAGCAGGACTTCTTGTTCCATTTCTGCTTGATTTGTGACTGGTTTTTCGGTGGTCATTAATATTCCATGTTTTTAAAGATTTTCGAAAATCGACATTTTTAGGACGAATGTGTCAAACTGTCCGCAATTTATCAGTCTACAAACTCTTTGCGACTCCGCACGAAAAAAAAAATACGCGCGGTGATGATATCAACAAAAACGGACGTGGGCGGATGCCGCCATTGGACCTTTTAGGGTTGAGATATCCTTGTCTGAAGGGACTCATGCGAAACTACTGTAAGCAATTTCCAAGACGTACATTAAACAATCCAATCAAATCATTGCATGGTTTCGTCTTAACTACAGGTATTATCACAAATGTTAAATAACTTGACCTTCAAATAAGGCGAGCTAAGTATCGATCTTACAAATCTTTCCCAGAAAGTTACCTTCAGCCTTAGAAAATCTACCAAGCATTATACAGCTAATAAAGTTTACATTAAGCACTGCTGTCACTTACAGATAAAAAGGGAACCAAAAAATGAAACAATTTACATGTATTACTGAAGCTTTTATACAAAGGCAAACATTGGTATCTAAAGTGCAATCGTGAAACAAACATTTGGTATAGAATGACTTTGCTCCCATTCTGGAATCTGTATTTCCGACAGCGAATCATTTCAAAGATTCGGCGTTAAGTATCATGTGGTCGTTGAATCGCATTTAGGACCGATTGGTGCTCTTTTAATGTTTGTTCTAGCAGCCTCAATCTGTCCTGCAGCACCATATGCTGGAGATCTCCAAAAGGTGAGCTCTTGATCGGTTGTACACCTTTGAAAGGTGAGTTTGTTTCTTCATCTTCTAAACTGGAATCCCAGTCACTGTCGACTTCAGCAGACTTTTTGTCTGGACATTCCCATTCACTGTCGATGTCGGTCGAACTTGCCCCATCGCTCCATAGATCGTCTTGAAATTCATGTATCTTTTGAGCAGTATGTGAGACGTCTGTCGCAAACTCTTTTCCTGACCCGTCAATGTGACTCTGGAACTCCTCTGCCACCTCATGTGTTATTGAGGGCTCGTGGTCCGTAGGTTGCCCTTGGAAGTAATTGTCAAAAGCACTGACGTTATTACAAGACAGGTCTTCAAGTATGTGTTGTTTAGTTCTTTTTGGCAGCGTGTTTTGGCAGTCAGAAAGGTGTTCCCGCCCTTCTGTCAGTGTGGAATCTATCTTTCGTTCCAATTTTCGTTGAAAGGTCGGCCTGTCATGGTTGTGACTTGGTTTACATCTTTTTGACAGGGTCAGTCGAAACTTTCTTCGCCTTTTCTTTTTCTTCTTATGTTCACCATCTTGATCACATCCATTTGTAACAGATGCCAGGCGTTTAACATTTCCCGGAATGCCAATGTCGATGTTGTCTACTGTGTCTTCGACATCCAAATTTGTCGTCAGTTGGTCGAGTACGTGTACACCAACTGTGGCTTCTGGTTGAATGACATGTTTGTCTCCATTCTGAAAGTTAGCTGTGTTACCGACACTTGTGGTTTCCTGTGCTCCAAGAAGACTTGCATTTTCCTTGGACTCGCAGTCACTTTTCACTATCAAATCCGAGTCTGCAAAGCTATAACGACTGATGTCCAGTTTATGAAGTTTAAGACATAGAACTTTGCCATCAAAGTCGGCAAGCTTTTCTTCGACAGGATGACAAGTTGTTTTGACCTTATTGTCACTGTCTCGTTTGGTTTTTATAACCATTTTCAAAGGAGGCACTTTAACCTTTTCACCCTCTTCGCATGGAGAGACTGCATCACTACTGTTTACACAATCCACCACGATCCCAATAGCTTCGCCAAGTGTTGTCGTGTTGGATTCATCAGAGTTTGTTTGAAAAGCGGAACACGTCTGCGCATCATTTACATCAGCGACTTCATTTGCATATACTGCCTCGAAAGAACGGAAAGCTCCTGTTCCTGCAGATACACTGGTAGAATGTGCAAAATGTAACGGAGAGGTTAACTGACGACGACTCATCAGAATTTGTTTCACGGTTAAGCCAGGCGACCTTCTGCAGGAACGCGCTTGATTTTCAAGACCCTGTCTGTACTGGGATACTGGACCGCTTGGCGTGATTTCTGACGACTCCCACAACTTCACGAGTTGTTGTTGTTGTTGCGCCTGGGCCCCACCGTCGGTCTTCCCACGAGGAATGGCATTGACTGGATGGACAGTCTGGGCAGACGGTCGTTCATCGGGTTGTCTCGTCGAATCTAATGAACAGACTGGAGAGGATTGTACAGAGCCACTTCTGCTTGCCATTGTGGGTGTTGCTAATGTGCGAGTCGTACCTGAACGTGACTCTCGTAATTCAGATGCCATGGTTGCTCCAATCGCAGAAGTCCTTGGGGAGTTCGTTAACTGAGACTTAGGGATACCACAATCACCTTGTTTAAGTGGTGCATCTTTCGAGGTCGTGCCGGAATCTACTGGTGTTGACGTCTTCACGGCGTGGCTTTGCTGCGATGAAAAAGCACTTCTTTTCGCTAGGGTATCTGCAATCTTCTTTGATAAACTTTCATTAGTGGTTGTCGAATCTGCCAACGAAAACACGGCATCGATCCGAGGTAGAACCATTGTAGGCAACTCCTTTTTTTTCTTGGGCGGCGTTGGTGTTGATTCTTTGACGGGAACGTTCAATCCATTTGCTGATGGAGTGATGGACGTTCCATTCTCTGTATCTCTCTTGCCCGAGTTGTACAACTTGTACAACGAGCTGGAAGTAGGAGAGACGTTAGTTGGCAGTGCGCTCTCTTTTCGCGGCAAGTTTCGAGGAATGACCTGCTCCGGTCGCAGTTCTGGGGCGGACTTGATACTCGACTCTTCACTGTTACTACTTTGGCCGTCCTGTTGTGAGAAGATGACATTCTCACCCTTCAACAACGACTGTCTCGTCTTCTCATCATTCTTAATGATGAACACGTCCTTTTGGGGGCCTATACCTATTTCATCAGCTGTGCAGCCCACGAATGGGGCATTGATAGCGGGGACCCATGCACACGACGCCAGATCGTCAAAAGGAAAAGCTTTGGCAAGTTTTCCCCTTGGTTGATGGTTCTTTGAGATGGCTACATAAGGAATACCGACAATGTCTCCCGGTATAGTGTACGCCAATAGATCCTGCTTCAGATATTGCTTGCCATCATTACCGGGAGGTACAGCAGGTGTCACCGATACGAGTTGGACCACCGCGGAAGAATGTGGTAGAAGTCTGGTTTCTTCAGCGGTCAGAGGACAGAAAGCCGAGAAGTAAGAGGTCCCAACGCTCCAGAATAGACGTTTACAGAGGCACAAGAAATCGCTCTTACTGGAACTGTAAAGAGGATGACATTAATTCACAATGGAAATGATATCAAGACTTATGTATGTCAGGGTGAAGGAGAGAGGAAAACTGTCATAAATACAAGAAGTTTATGGCCTGTTCACACTGCGGGCGGTAACGGGATTCCGAAAAGGTTAACAAAATGCAAATGTGCTGGTTTGCACTGTGTGCGTACAAACAGTGAGGAAGAACATACAACTACTGTACTTAAAAACCGGAGCAATCCCCCCCCCCAAAAAAAAAATACCGCGCATCTGCCTGACGACCAATCAACGCACGGGTGGTTTCTCTTTGATACTTGGCCATGGCGTCGTTGGCCAATAAACCTTGCAAAAATGTGCATTAATTTTCATAATACCGCGCGGTTTTTCACCAGGGCACTATGCAGTATGCGCCCCGAGGGTGTTCAAAACGTTATACCATTGTCTTGGATTCTTTGGACTTTGAAAACATGTAAACAAGCAGCAGCAAACACAACATTCATGACAATTGAACATCAACTCACATGCATGTCGCGTACCGTGCTCGGAACAGCTGATCGTCGGCTAGTTCGCTGCTCCCACTCATGTGTGAAATCATAGTGAAAATAGCGTGGGTACCAACGATATAAGCGTTTCGCACCGTACGTACCGTACGTACGTACAACGTCACAGCACACTCCCTGTGATAAACTTAACACGTGATCGCTCTAGGCCAATGAAAATACATGTACAGTAAGACAGAGGTATAGCAAACCTCGTTGGTTTCAACACGCTATCCGTCACCTCATGTCAATTGGCCCTTTAATGCACACAAACATTTCGCGCTTATATGGTGGATAATACGCCGAAGTTTGCAACCTGATCAAGTTTCCCTAATATCGCATCAGCGCATTGACCGTTATAGCGTGATGGAGCTGGCCATGACGTTACCCTGTATTTCAGTAATTTACATAAATTAGCATAATATCGCGTGTTCTCCCACTCATCATACGTTAATGTTTACGCTTCCCGTTACCGTGCTTGTGTATATAGACCCTTGTTACATTTTAAAGCAGACTGTGCAGCCCTATATCAGTAACATGTACATGTCATTGAATTCACAAAAAAATTACAGTTGTTACAGATTTTTACAAATGTAAACGTATAATGCATTGTGTATTTATTTGTTTGTATCAAAGTTACTACATTCTTGTGACACAAACCTTGGCAATGGCACAGCAAAGAGTGCCATTGGTTCTTCCAGTCTGTTGGACACCATGGGTGGCCGAGCCCTCCGATCAACAGAAGAACTATGACTGTTCTGCATAAGTCGTTGCATGGCTGTGCCGCCTTTAAAAGTGTCCTGGTGATTCAATGTAGCCTATAGGTCTCCTGCAGATAGAACATACATGTAATATGCATGTCACTTAATATAATAACAATGTTTTCAATGCAGTTGACGAGCCTCGTGTGGTGTTTTTACATGAACTTGTTCCTTTGTGAAGCTGCCTCATGCCATTTTAATTATTCAGTGGTGAGTCACGTCCTCTGCTTTTCTTTTTTCTCTTTGGTAACTTCCTGCGGAAATCATTGCAATTTCCGCAGTCGTAGACGTGCTTGAATCATGCTTGTTTCAGCGACCTGACTTCATGTAAATTAAAGTTTCCTCGCAGTACGCACATGATTTTGCCTCGCAGCTTTCAGTCAAAGGACCATCCTAGTTTACGATAGTGTAAAGAAAATCGCTCGTTCCATTACACAGTGGTTATTTGTGACTTATTTTTCCAAATTGGTACCGTTCTATGGATTATACTCGAGCTGCCACTTATTTGCAATTCAACCTTGGGAAAATGACAGATGGTTTCATTAAATACATCAAGTTCATTGATGTCGAATATTCAGACCGACGTGTTTTCGTTGTTGTGGAGGGTTCATAAAAGGTTGCATCGTAGATAGCTGGATTGCTATCTACGATGCGATTGACCTTATCTGATAAAAGCTATATTTGTAATTCAAGTTGATCCGGCTTTCCCAAAGAAAAGCTTAATCTATAAGAAATTGTAATAATATAATTCGTGTTATATTTTAATCAAACAAAATTAGACGGCCTAATGTTCGATCCTAGCAGAATCTTTGACAAAGATTCGGCTAGGATCGAAATGTTTGGCCGCCTAATTTTGTTTGATTTGTACATTTTAGGTCAATCCATTCATCAACCAGTTGGCAGCAATTTTGTTAATGTTCGTTTTTATTTGGGAATCTTTGGAGTGAATCCATTCATTTCTTTAGGTTTGAAACTGCTGACTTGTAGTTTTATATAAAGCTCACTATGTTTCATTTTGTGGTAATATTCATTGATTACCTGTGAATAGCAGTTAAACTACTTTTTTTTTTCAGCCAAGATACTCGTTGTGTTGCTGCCATTTTTGCTGCTGCGTGATTTCATTCACTGGAATACACGAAGGGTAGCATTATTCATCTCTTCCTGATGACCTTAATGAAGCCTAATGCTTTTCTTAATAAGGACCGGTGCCATATGAAAATCCGACTCCTATGAAAATCGGACCCCTTTTCCCGATTATTGGCTACTCCCTCGCACGTGACAGGTCACTCTCCCGCATGTGATCCTAAAACTAGCATATTCTCGTACTTACGCGTGCGCAATACTACCAATGAGTCCACATTTCATGGAGTCGGATATTCACGCTACACCGGCGATTTCAAGCACATCATAGCACATTCGCATTCTACGGACTTTTTTTTAACAATATTATTTAATCGTCTTCTGGTGAATCCCAGTTCAGATTTTCTTTTTAAGTCCAAGCTTATGATTTTAATCGCTTTAAGAAATTGCTCTTAATTGCTCTGCACTGCAAGTTTTTTATTTACATGCTCCAGACCAATGCCAGGTCCATTTATGCCTGCTCGTTTTGGTATACGACATTCTTCCTGTCTTTCAAATTTCCGGAGATGATTTCATTTCTGCTCTGCTTCATGCATTAACTGCATGATGATTACTCATTACTTTCAGACGGGCGCCCAATCTGTATAAATCCCAGGTTTCTATGCATTAGCAGCTGCAGATACGTTTACGCCGATACTTTTCACGGTGCCTCTATAACTTGGCTAATAAATATGACTCTTCTGACGGAGTGTGACCTCATAGCACTATATCCGGCCGGCCGCACTATATCCGGCCAGGAAAAAAACGTGTACAGTATATAAATATAACATGGTTTCAAGGTGGACAGTTGATATTCGCTCCCCAAGGTATTGGAGATTGACAAACTAGTTCCCGAGGCGAACTAGTTTGTCAACTTCCAATACCAAGGGGAGCTAATAAACCCGAAATAAACCATGCTATATTTGTTTTACTATACCTCATACATATTCAGCGCCGATTTTTTTGTTTCGTTGCAGTATGCACATCAAAACATTTTTTTTTGAAAAACTTGTCCAGTTCACCAAAAGAATCGTATTGCTCAACTTCACTAATTCAGTTCGTTTACAATACAGTGCAGCTGTAAATACAGTAGTTTGTGTACAACTTTCTTTTGTACAGAAGGGGTCTTTATTGTCCATAAATATTCTCGAGTTCAGCATCATTGAGCTCGGGAAAATAACGCGCTCTTCATGTGTAGCTCGTTTGGGCGATGTTCGCGCGTGCGTACTTCACCCGTGGGACAGTTCCACGATTACTTTGTAAAGCGCATGCGTAGTAGACTGTTGCACGGGTACGCATGCGTATTTACCCGGCGCGTGAATCCTCGCGCCCGCGCTTGGTAAACAGCAAAAATAACAGCTGGCACGTGATGGTGAATTGACCAGTGAGCGTTCGGCTCTCGATCATGAATATGTATTAGGTATAGTAATATAAGTAATGGAGTTATCAGACACAGGAATTAATGACGTCGTGTGCTGAAATCCCCGCTGCAATTACCCCGTGACAGCGCTCGGACACTTTTAGCATCGGACACTATTTTGCAAGAGTTCAAATAGTGTCCTGCATCTACCGCGCATGTTCAGTGGACACTATTTCGCACTGGACAGTTTTTAGCTTGACACCGGAACACCTATTGTACTACAGAAAATAAACATATTTCTGTAATTGTCTTTTTAAAAAAAAATTCTACGGAAACCCTTTGTATTATAATTGTTGTATTTCGGTAATTGTTTTTTATCTTTGTATTTAGCGCTGTGAGGCCCTTATGGCAAATTGGCGCTTTATAAGTATCTTTTTATTATTATTATTATTATTATTATGTTATGCCGACACGCAACCGCTCGGCAACCCAAACAATTAAACATTTTTAGCATGTTGTTCGGCCCGCATCAAACAAAATTATGTCAACACTTTTAAGTCACTCACATTTCAAGAGATGAACAATGTGCATGCAGTGCATGTTGAAAGATGACATCAGGTGACCATAACATCCATTTTCTAAACACGATTTCACATGTTCTATATACACCACATTGAACAAGTAGATGCCATCTCATTACGCAATAAAACAACCCCTAGTGTTAACATTATCGGCGCACTGGTTGATCGGTACTATACTATCTTCATGTCAGAAACACCTTCTGTATCCGTTAACAATGCTTAAAATCTTCATTGGTAACGGTAATATCTGTAACATTATAACAGTGGTATACCAATGGGGCATAATATATTGAAACATTCACTTTCATTGTTATTGGCGTTTGGTTTGTTCCATGGTAAAACTCAGTCAGGATCAGACATTCACGTTTGCAGATTAGAGCACACTACGAACATCTGATATATACATATTTTATGCGACCCCGCGCGCCAGCCAATCGGAGTCGACTTTAGAAATTGTGACGTCATTTAGATTAGAAATGTGGACTTAGCTGTTGACTGGTCATTTTGACTGACATGGTTTTGTTATACTACAGCGGATTACCGAAGACCCGTTGACGGGCGAAATCTTTGAAAATTATTTTTTTTCCCGTTTTAAAACCGTATCTTCTTGCACTTTTCAGGGTTTATTTCCCTTACAATGATTCAAGTATGTGCTAAAATTCGTTGTGATAATGTTCATTACTTTTCGTTGAAATTGGAAAAATAGGCCTGGCTGTACGTGCATTTTGGAAAGTTGTAACATATAGCGTTTGCAAAATCTGTCAATCTTTTCAAGCCTAACGAAATTATATTAATAAGGTTCTTATCCATTATTGTGTGCAGTAAAAAAATTGGGGGGAAAAAGCCTCCTTCACGAGTTATTAATTGATAAATATCACCCTTTTGCCGGCTTCCATTGGTTGACACCGAGACCAACGCCAAGTCAAGCCGAGTGACGCTAATGAATATGCTAATATGCCCTTCGTCATTGCGTTGCCGGGCCGAAATCGGCCAACCGTAGCGCCTAAGGCCATGCTCAAAACCATGCAGGTGGATATGATGGTCGGCAAAATCATCTTCGAAATTTTCCTTGGAGATAGTTCAAGATGTAACACTAGCATTTCCAAGAACAAAGGCCTATTAAGCTGAAACTCGGAATATACTTAGATGAGTGCTCGACTACTCGTGAAATAACAAAATGGACACATTTCTAGAAATTGATATAAATACATAGGCTAATTATTTGGGGACGTTTTCGAACTGAGCCGATTGCAGCTACGCGAGGTCATGCACTGAACCGACGAATTATAGCAACCGCGCGCGCGTCGTGTCAACGCTTGTGCGCACTTCGCTGAAAAAAAAAACGAACTTCTAACGGAAATTTACATTAGACGCATAGTTGGAAAGGCCTTCTTTCATTGATTTCTTCAAAATGACAGCATGCCCGAAAAATAATTCACAGGAAGTTTAATCCCATTATTACAATTAAACCAAGTATGTTTTTCAAGAATAATCACGTCAGTTACTTTTTGGATAGCAATTGATGGACTGTTGGTTGGAGTTTTTATGCTGATAATTACCCTAGGCAAGGGTAATCATAATTACCCGAGCCTTCGGCTCGGGTAATTATCAGCGAAGGCTATGGTAATCATAATTACCCTAGCCTTCGGCTCGCTTAATTATCAGCATCCAGATTCCAACCAGTCTTACACATAGTGTTTATTAATACCTCCCAATCACACATTTATGCCCTTAATAATACCTTGCTGTACATACACAATTGTAGACCGTTTGGTGTAACATTTGTTTTTAATTTACAATGAAAGAAAGGTTTGCGGAAACACCATATGGGAATATAATTCCTCGAACTAAGAGAATGGTTAAGAAAAGAACCAGAGGTATAAAGTCGACGTTCCGGTCGGTATGCTCTTACCGACAGTCAGAGCATACTGACCGGAACGTCGAGTTTATACCTCTGGGTCTTTTCTTAACCATTCTCTTAGTTTGAGAAATTATTCCCACATCGTGT